AGAAACAAAATATAAAATGTATTTATAATGCCAATACTTTGTATTTATAATGTGTTTATAAATAAAAGTAAAACGGAATGCAACATTAAGCCTAATGATAACGATATTGAAAAGAAATCTAAAATGTGGAGAAAGTATAATTTTTAGGTTCATTATAGATTGCGACTGTAATATTAAACATAAAATATTTTAGGTATTATCGTTTTCAACAATGTAAAACTATGGAGACCCTAAAGGGCCATAGTTATAAAAAATATTAAACTATTTCGAGGGAACGAAATGATTTCGAGGGAACATGCCTACTGCATGTGTTGCACCGTTTTTAATTCTAAGTCGTTAGTCTATTCATGCAACATCCATCCAACAGAAAGAATGTTCCTTTAATTACATTTTACTGATTTCATGTTACAAATACATTAAATTTGCATTGCAAATTATTGCTATAAATTTGTTTTAATTCTACTGTAACTGGTTCTATGACAATAAAAATAAAATTATTAAGAATGCATGTCGTCGTTTAAGTCCTTTTAGCAGCTTTGGTCTCTTAGAACACATCTAACAAAAAGTAAAGTGAATCCTTGCCAAGCCACTAGGGCCCATAGGGGATGTAGTTTATTCCCGGTTTCTGTAGCCTGAAGTTGATGAGAGCGTTTGCCGCCCATGTGTGGGACGCTAAACCACCACAGGTTACTCCCAGCTGTTTGTTGGTACCCATTGATACAGCTGGGACTGAAGCAATGTAAATAAGTTGCCTTGCTCCATAGCCTGTTTCTATTGACTATGCTTGCGAAATGAGCGAAGGATTGAAACCCTAGTGACCTCAAAGTTAGGAAACAAAACCATTTCCTCTGCACCAAACCTAACCGCTTCCACGTCTAAAGAAAAGACCAGTACTAAAAAGTGGTCATTAAATTCCTCTAGAGCCAGGAAACTGAAATATGATACATTATGTCATATTTTTTCATTTTAGAATGGATGGACCATTACTGTATGCTCTTATTAATTCTTAATAAAAAATTTCTTGATAGCCATGCATCAAGTCGTGTGCTCATTCTACCCAACTCTCCATTACAATACTACTCACATCACAATCAGACTAACATCAGTGCAATAGTCCCAAAAACATTTGAACTCTTTCATCTCCATGAAAATAAAAGAAAAAACCAACGCTATGATATATATTTTCTCATTACACTAAAATAAGTTTTTTTGTGTAATAAAAATTTTAAAATAACAGCAAATGCCTTTCACTAAAGCAATAGTTCAAATTTTAAAACTTGCAATCTGTTATTGGAGCATGGTCTGGGTTTTGAAAACCAGAGGGCATCAAAGTCGTGGTTGGTATAATAATTTTATTTCATTCTTCTTCCAACAGCGAAAAATCGTCACTTGCAGGTGAGAATAAATTACCTAATAAAAACATAAATTTATATAAAAAAATATAAATATAAAAGTGATAATGAAGTGATGTATATACAAAATAAATATTGCTGTGTAGACCCATTGAGTGTTCGCAACCACTGTTGCATGTAATTACCTCTACAGGAAAATTTAAGGGGCATTTCCCTTTCCATAAATCCGTTATACTTGCTAAAAATGTTGTTTTTCTTTGGTTAAAGTCCGGTACATGCACGACTGCATGACCGGCAGCAACACGAATGTCCTGGAGGAATTTTGGAAATACCGGTAAGAATGTGATGTCATGTAAGGTCAAAACTCTTTAAAAAAGTCTTATTAATATGGAAGCGTCCCTCATGAACATTTCCCACACTCCCTTATCGTTCAACCTTATTGTAAACTGTTTTGTAAAGTGTAAATGATTGTATATTTAATCAATTTAAAAATATCATTATTCTAAAAAATGTTAAAATAATTATAATAAATATAATTTACCCTTTTGGCTAAAAAAGCCTTTGTTTTTTTGGCTTGAAACTGATCATCTATAAAAAGTAATATATTAAAACTGCACATAAACAAGAGCATTGCAGGTGTCAATGTCCCTATGCGTGATACATGACTTATCAGAATATATAAGGTTGGGTCAAATTTGTGTGGTGGTTTAACTTAAACACTTCAGGGGGAGGAGTGAGTTTTTATGGCCCAAAATAGTGATTGTAGACCACACTAGTAATGCTTTTTGATAGCCAAATTACAGTAATATGTTTAGCACATCAACAAGGTACTTAAAGATGTACTGTCCCTTGCAACAAAAAAAAAAAAAAAAAAAACAAAAAAAAAATCATAAAAATCATTTTTGAAATTTACTTGCCCATTTTGAAGTAACATAAAAATGATCAACCTGAACATAGAAATTAGTGTATACTTAAAAACGTACCCATAAAAACCATCATTTTACAGCGAAAAAATTATATTAACACTTGTGTTTTATCTGAGACAATTTGTATAGTTGTCTCAGGTTTTATCCAGTTAAAAAATCAGGAAAAACATTTTTTTAATTTAATAATTTCTGTGCTCAAGTTAATAATTTGTATGTTACTGCAAAATGAGAAAATTAATTTAAAAATTATTTTTTATAATTTTGGTCATTTTCAAGGGACAGTACATCTTTAAGAATGATGTAGAATTAAAAAAAAAATTAATTAAAAAAAAAATGTGAAAACATTTCGTAGACCTAAGTGTACAGTATTTTCAATTTACAGTAGTCTACACCTCAGGTATATTTATTCAACACTTCAACAATAAAAAAAAACAGGGCAGTATTCACTGCAATCTCTGTGTACATTAAAAATTCATTCATTAAGTAAAACAGCAAAGTAGCTA